GAATGACCTACAACTCAGGAGAGGGCAAAGGTGACCTCTTAGACAGCCAAGACCCTCCTCTGTTGGTTCTATGACCTTTCTCTACACAATATCCCTTTAAGCTTTCATTATCCCCTGTTTTCCAGTGTGCTGTGGCTGTGTGGCCTCTAAAGCTTTAGTGATCAGTCCCTTCTGGGGATTAGGCCCTTTCAGCTGACTCACCTTGGAGGGCTTTGTGGGCAGATTAGGGGGTTTTGCTTGATCAGCACATCCTTAGCTTTACCAGGGCCTGGATTTTAGCAGGGCTTCGGCAATCTCTGCCTTTTGTTTTTTGTTTTGTTTTGTTTTGTCTTTTCTCCTTACTCAGTTGAAACAAATGCAGTTGTCTAGAAATTCCTCTGCATCTGTTCATGAGGCAATTAAAGCTGATGGGAGAGGCAGTGATTATGATGTTAATGATTAACCAAAAGTAGATCTGTCCAAAGATTCCTTTGGTCATGGATCTATTTTTCCTGACCTTATGTAAGCAAAAAGTACTCATGTGGTTGAGTTCCATCTGTATACATAATTTTGAACATGCTGTAGTTTAGCTTCAAATAGGGGTATTGTTAAAATTATTTGCAATCAAATAACTCAGCAACCAAAGATGAATAAAATGTAAACTCTTTTCAAGTTGTTCACAAGGGAGATGAGATATAAAACCACTTGCTATGTTCTCTCTGCTACAAATATATTCAAGGAACAAAGCATTCTAGAAGCTCAGCTAAAGGAGCAATGATTGTCATGTGGGGGATTCGAGGAAGGCTTCCTGAGAGAGGAACTACTCCAGACATTGAATAATGTTATTACCAAGTCCCTGCTGTTCATTTGATAGATCATAAACTGATAGAAATGAAAGTTTTGTTTCGGTTTTTGTTTTCTTTTTGGAGTCAATATAGAAAAGAAAGGAAGTGAGATGATAGCACCTAGAGGTCTATCAAGTTGTCACTCTAAATTTTACAAGTGACAAAGCTGCCTATGATGGCTGTAAAGTCTGAGAGGCTCTTAGAGAAAGGATGAGGAATGTATTCTTCTTGGGCTGTATTGCAAAGACTAAAAGAACTATCAGGTAAGAAAAAAACAAAATGAACTACAGACATGTTCCTGGACCATGCTTGCTATCTCACCTTCATTCTAAATGGTGCTTGCTGATGAGAGATGAAACAGAGAAAGGACAGAGATTCAACTCAACCAATAGTATTGGTCCTGCCTATTTTGTACAGGTATTTTGGTGTTTGCATCCAATGTGACACTCTCCAAACGTACAGGCTCCCCAGGTGTGGACAAAATGCATGAAGGGCTTTGGATGGAGGTTTCACACTGGAAATATGTCCATCTTTCTCTGCCAAGGATAAGCTGCCAACAAAGCTATCGTCCTTCTCCATAGTTGGGCCTTGATTTGCACTCCCTTTCCATGATAACTTCTCTCTTGTCTCTGGATAGGCACAATGACCTGCCAGGCTTCTGCTTAGTGGCCAGCTTTTACTAATTCCTCCTCCCATCTACCTTTCCTACCCTAAAAGCCACCTTAAGCAGAGTACCAAGGACCTCTCTACAGCCCTTGAGGATGGGAAATTATGCCTGCCTCTCTTAAAAGAGATCTAGATGCTCCTGGCCACTGCCCCTGTTGTCCAAAGATATGCTTGGGCTTTTGCAGAGGAAGAATGCCTTCCACTTGAGTCCTGTTCATTTCAAAAACTCTGCTATTTGGGCCCAGGATATACACTTTCCTCTAAGGAAATTTTTAACAGGGGTTCACAGTGGAGTTTTAAGGACTCCAAATCCTCTCTGACAGCATACATCAAAATTTGCTTTCATCTATTCTGACTTCCCTACAAAAGGGTAAGAACCATTGTGCCTACAGAGTAACCAGTCTGTGCCATCTCTGATATCTCTTAATTCTCCTGAAATACAATTATATCCAGGGTATGGGGTGAATTCTTGAACTCCCTGGGCCTTGGGCCACTTCACTAAGACAAAAAAACCACAACGTCCTAACCTGCCCTTGCTCTGGCAGATACCCAGGCACTTCTGAGAACCTCCTGATGTCTTGGACAAAAAACCTACCTGCAGAACAGACACTTTACCCAAGAACACATATGAAGGGCCAATAAACACATGAAGAGATGCTCAACATCATTAGTTCTGGGGAAATGCAAATTGAAAGCTCAGTGTGCTGTCCATATACATCCACTGGAATGGCTAAAATTAGAAAGACAGGCAATACCAAGTATTGGAGAAGATTTAGAGCAACTGGAAGTCTTATACATTACCAAGGAGGGAGTAAAAGTGGGAGTACAAAATGGTGCAGCCACATTAGAAAACAGTTTGACAGTTTCTTAAAAAGTTAAGCGTATACCTATCCCACAACCAGATGTTCTATTCTTAAGTCTTTATGCCAAAAAACCACATCACCACACAAAGACCTGCATATGGTTGTTATTACAGCTTTATTTATAATAGCCCAAACTGGAAACAACACAAATGTGCATGAAATGTGAATGAATAAACAAATTGTGATAGAGCCATGCAATGGCTTACTATTCAGCACTAAAAAGGAACCAACTACCGCTATGTGCAACAACATGGATAACTTTCAAAAGTGTTACACTAAGTGATGAAGTCAGACACAAAAGATTACATCCTGCATGATTCCATTTATATGATATGCTAGAAAAGGCAAACCTATGATGACAAAACTCAGATTAGTAGCTGCTAGGGGATAAAGGTAGGGGGAGAGAATTAACTGTAAAGGGGCACAGGAGAAATTTTGGAATTATGAACTAATCCCATATATTGATTGTGGTGGTAGATACACAATTAAAGACATTGGTCAAAACTCATCAAACTGTACATTTAAATAGGTATTATATGTCAACTATCAATAAAGCTGGTTTAAAAAAAAACTACCTGCAGAGCTTCATTTTTCTATACATATAGGACAGTCTAAACACGGAACATCTTTGCAAGGATAAAGGATCTCAAACTTGGGTTCAACTACATTATTTTATGATTTATTCTACATATTAGACTCCGAAATTGTTTTTTTAAATTTCCTGCTACTACCAGCACTCTTTCCTTTGGCAGCTGCTTTTTATATCTTTCTCTTCTAAAATGTGGAGCCACAGGATGTTGTGAGCACTGCAGAGACCAAATTGGGGTGGCTGTCTTTTAGGTCTGTCTTGGCCCATTCCTGCTGCTATAACAAAATATCTTAGACTGGATAATTTATAAATAATAGAAATTTATTTCTTACAGTTCTGGAGGCTTGGAAGTCTAATATCAAGGTGCCAGCAGATTTGGCATCTTGTGAGGACTTGTTCTCCTCCTCAAAGATGGCATCTTCTTGCTGAATCCTCATACAGTGGAAGGGGCAGAAGGCTCCCTTAAACCCCAAGGGCACTAATTCTATTCACAAGAACGAAGCCATCATGACTTGTCAAAGGTCCACCTCTCAACACCGCAGGAATGGGGATTAGGTTTCAACATGAATTTTGTTGGGACACAAACATTCAGACCATAGCAAAGTCTATTAAAAATCCACTGCAATGTTTGGAGTAGACTGGAGGGGACAGAACAGAGAAAGACATCTGAAATAGACTGAAATAGAGCAGAGGAGATGCAGAGAAATTCCAGAGAGAGACATTTAGGCAAACAGTCAGGGACCAGATCTGGAATACAAAAGAGAACAGTGTTCAAAGAAGAACCCTGTTCAAAAACCTTGAACAATTCCCCACTGCCTTTGGGGAAACATCCAAGTGTCTGAGCACTGGATATCAGGTTTTCCAGATTTACTTCCAATTTATCTTTTTATTGCCTACTGCATCTTTTCACTGAATCAAAAGCTCTATAAGCACAGGCTTATCCACGAAAATTTGTTATTTAACAGCAGTTGTTCAATATGTATTAGTTGATTGTCCATTCACCTTCTGATGGATGTTTGTGTTTTTTCCATTTGGGGCTATGGCCAACAAAACTACCACAAGCATTCTTGTACAGGTTTTTGTGTGGACATATGCTTTCATTTCTCCCGGGTAAATACCCAGGAATGGAATTGCTGGGTTGTGTGGTAGGTCTGGTACATCCCTACAATACCCGTCAGCAATAGAAAGACATGAACTATTGATACATGTAACAACATGGGTGAACATAATTTATTAAACAAAAGAAGTCAGGTAGCCCCCCAAAAGGATAGTACATACGATTCCATATATAAAATTTGTATATATAACTCTAGAAAAAGCAAGCTAATCTATAGCAACAGAAAGCAGGTGAGCAGTTGAGGGGGCAAGGGACAGGGAGGGACAAGATATAAGAATTACGAAGGATCACAGTAAAACTTTTTTGGGTGATGGATATGTTCATGATTTTGATTGCAGTGATGGTCTCACAGTGATATATATATATATAAATTTATCAAACTGTACATTTTAAACGTTCAGTTTATTGTATGTCTTATACAATGCAGTCAAGCTGTAATAAAATACCGGTTGAATAAACAGCAAGTTCCCAGTAAATGCATATCCGATGGTGCAGAGAAGCGTTCAATGTTGGCTGAAGGAATGCAAAGCAGGTGCCCAATAAGGGTTGGTGGAGTTAATATGCAGAAGAAATAGGTATTCACTTATTAGGTGTTCAATAACTTTAGAATGAATGAATAAATTTGACAGATATTTATCGCTGATCGTGTGCTAGGCACTATTCTAGGCTCTGGGAATAGGTTAAGGAACCAAACAAAAATCCTTGTGCTCACAGACCTTTAATTTTAGGAGGACAGCAGACAATAAAAGCCTAAGTAAAATACATATAGTGTGCTAGATAGGTGCTAAGGAGAAATAAGGCTGAGAATGGGGATAGGGAAAGTCAAGGAAGGAGGTTGACATGTTAAGAGACTGTGCCCACCGTCATTGAAAGGGTGATGCTTGAGAAAGGCCTGAAGGATATGGGCGGACAGAGTGTGTGTCTAGGGCAATAAAAAGTAACTGCTCCAGATGTGGAAGAAAATAATGTGCAGGAGTTGAACTGTTTGGAAGGAGGGTGAGCCCCTTAGGAGGAGCCGCCCACACCCCCTGCTGGGTCCCGGCTCGCTCGGCCAGCGCGTACCTGCGTTGTCCACCAGGAGGCGCTTCCGCACCCGCCCCGCAGGCGTCTTCCGCCGCCGGCCGGTGCGTGGGCACGCGCAGAAACCGCTAGGCGGCGTCGGTTTCCTTTCCCACGCGCGGACGCCGGCGTGGGCCGACGCGACCGAGGCGTCCGCGCGTGCGCAGAGCCGAGGCCAGGCTGCCCTCGAAGCGGGGCGGGGCGAAGCGGGGCGGGGCCGAGCAGGGCGGGGCGGGGGCTTGAGGTGATTCCCGAGCCGCGGGGCGGCTCCAGCGGTGCGGGGAAACCGAAAGTGGGCGGCGGCTGCGGCGGGGCCCTTGGCGGAGACGGCGGCGGGAGCTGGGCCCAGAGGCGCGGGGACGGGCCGTGGGCCCCCGGAACGAGGTGAGCGCAGGTCCTGCGGGTTCCGGGCGCGACAGGTGCCGGGCGACGTCGGACGGGATTTCGGGCGGGCGCGGCGCACCTGGGTCACCGGTGGGACCGCGGCCGGGGCCGGAGGCTCCAACAGGCTCGGGGCCTCTTCCCTGCAGCCGCAGGGGATTGCCCCGGCCACGACGCCTGGGAACCGGGCTGGGCGCCGGGGGAGTTGCAGTTCCAGAGCGTTGTGTTTTAAATCTCTGAAGGGACCCCGCTCCGGGCCGGGCCGGGCGTTCACGCGGGAGTCGGACGGAGCCCCCTGCTGCCTCTAAAGCTCTGTGCCGTGGGGGAAATGCAGCAGCGGGGTGTGGACGCAGGCGGGAGATGCGGACCAGGAAGTGGTTCCCGCTACCGGAGCGACAGGCCGCAGCCGCCGCCCCCAGCGACGGATGTCCGCGCTCCGCTATTTAAACCCAAGTATTTTACACCGCGAACTTCTCTTAAAGGTCTCTATAATCTGGAGACGAGCCCCAGGCAGGCCGCTCAAGTCATGCAGGGCACACATCCCCATTTCTCTCAAACCAGGAGCACCCAGTGGGTGCAGAGCACCCAGCTGGGAGGGAAACATGGATCCGTGAATAAGTTGTCTCAACTTTCAGCAGCATCCCCCAGCAGGGTCACACTCTCAGCCTCAGCTTGCTAGGAGGGAGCTTGGAAGCAGCACATCTTTCTGCTCCCATTCACTTGAGAGGTATAATATATTTCCATTAATAGCTAAAGGTACCATTCTCAAATAATTTCTAAGAGCAGGGAAGGGAAAAAAACATATTAGGACAAGTCCTGGCTCAAAAGATTTCTGATAACCGCCCAACCAAACCAAACCAAAAAACCACAGATCCAGTTCATGAACCCTCCTGCCAACACCTCTCTGCTCTCCAATCGTGCAGGTGAAAAAAAATGCAGAGAAATGTTCTCTCTAGGGAGAAATGCAACAGCTTAGTAGGAGAAGTAAAACTTAGACCCAAATCCCTATCTCTTCCTGGGCTGCCTTGATGTGTGTGAGTGTGTTGCATACTGCAAATAATGTGAACTTTGCAGACCTGGATTGAAATCTGGGCTTCTCATTTTACAAATTGTGTGATCTTGAACAAATTACATGCTTTCTCTGAGCCTGGTTTTCTGTGTATCAAATAGAAATATTTGGCTTACTTTGCAAGGCTTTTTCAAGATAACCATTGTATATCCTTTGCCTCATAATAATTGCCAAGCAGTATTCACACTCTTCCAACAAACTGTCCATGTTTTACATAATTGGATTTTAGTTTTTTGAGGGCAGGGACACAAAGATCTTTATGTTTCCTGTATAATATAAATTGGCACATGGTGGATATTTTTGCATTTCCAGTCAGCTGACATTCATTGAGCATCAGTGCAAAGTACTGTTCTGGGGTATAGGGAATTGCCCCTGAGGCCAGCTGGATTAGAACTCACATCTCCTGTGCCCCAATCCAGGGCCCTTTGGTGGCACACAGCCTCCCTCTTTGGTTACACGGTGAGACTGTGAGGCAGCAGTTGGCAGTGCCTTCAGATTTCAGTCTCTGTAGATTGAAAATGAAATGTAATCCCCTGCTAATGCCCTTTTAAGTGTACAGGTTGAACATGGCTGAATGAACTATTGTATTTTGCATCAACAGATTTTAAACTCCTTGAAGAACCTCTCCTTTAAGTCTGTGCAATATAATCTAGTTGGATGCTTAATGTGAATATAAAGAAAAAATACCTTATAATCCAACTCTGAGTGCCTAATTTGTGTTTGTCAAGTGCTGTTTTCAAGAATTGAGATTTGACATAGAGTGCTTTGCATCTGGACACTGTCAGAGAATTTCCTTGGTGAAATTTTATATTTATGTGAACTGTTGTTTCTTTGTGCCAAACCTGCTTTTTCCTCCCTCCACTCCCACCTCTGTACTTTTGAAAGCTTCATTCTTGTCATTATTTCCATGTAAGCCAAATATGTTTACAGTTTTGTCTTTCAAACTAAAAGTAATTAATTTTGCAGTTTTTAGTTGAAGACGTATATATGCCAATTAGAACTTGATCAGTGCAAGCTACCCAGTGTGACTTCAAAGTAAGCTTGACATGTTAGCCTGTGCAGATTTGTCATGAGTAAGCAAACTCGGTTTTCGTTAGATATTTGGACCTTAGTTCAGCCTTCAGTGAATCCAAGGAAAGTTGAGAATCATAGCTCTTGCCACCTTTCTTCCTTGTGGAAAAAAGAGACCTGAAGTGACTTGTGTTGGGTAATCAGTAGCAGAACTAGGATTAAGACACAAACTCCTTACTAAGCCACTTTATTATCTCAGGGTTTATTCCTGTAGTATGTAGACTTATGGAAATCCCTTCCTTACATACGTTCATGGTATGCAGTTAAAATGCACGAATAATTTGGAACTTGAAATGACAAGAATAAAAAAGATAACTCCCTAAAAAAACTCTTAAGGAAGTATTCCATCACCTGAGGGCATTAATCATCTTTTTTCCTTTAAAAACTAGTTGGTGAAGGAGTCATTGAGGTGGTAACAGACTATGATTAGAAAGAAAAGAGCATTTTAAAGGTGCAAGATGAGAAATCCTTTATTGAGTAAAGATCTTAGGAAAAAATCTTCCCTCTGAGGCTGAGTGTATTGATTTGTAAGATAAGGAGCTTGGGTTAGCCTAGATGATGCCTACAATGTTTCAGCACAGGCATTATGGGACTTTAAGGTCCTGCTGTTGCTAAAATAGTGTCTTCAAGAGGAAGGGCAGCTAGTGATTGGAAGTATATGCACTAAAGAGATATCCAAATACTTCAAAATTGAACATCTAACTAAAAGAAGCTAAGAGAGATTACTTGGTGTTTTCAGTTTACCCTAATAATTCTTCTTCTTTAAGATTTAGTGCCACTCGACAACTTAAATTCATGACATGAAAAATGTAGTGAGGAAGATGAGCCAAATAATACAGTTGGAAATAGTTGAGCAAGAAGAAATTTAGAAAGCATAGGATGGAAGTCAGACTAGCTCAGCTAAAGGCCTTTGACACCAGTAGCTAGAGGAAGCAGATAACATGCAAATGACTGAGCCAGGGAGGATCAATTTAATGGTAGAAGGCTTTTATCTGGGATACACCAAAAGCAGATTCTTCAGAGCAGGACTTTCTTGGGTCATTTTCAGGTATAGTAAAGAGAAAAGCTATGAATTTACAAAATGTAGTTTTGAAGTAGAGTGAGAATTATTTTAGGCCACTTAAATTATTAAAATTTTGTTTCCCTAAAGATTGTCATCACTTTCCCCAACTTCCCACCCCACTTCTTGTGCATTATTAGCGTCTTGGATACTTGAGATTAATTGTGTATAAGCGAAGAAAAAAAGGGAAGCACGAAAGCATACAAAAGATAGTCCCAGCTACTCAGGAGGCTGAGGCAGGCGAATCACCTGAACCCGGGAGACGGAGGTTGCAGTGAGCGGAGATTGCGCCACTGGACTCCAGCCTGGTGACAGACCGAGACTCCATTGCAAAAAAAAAAAAAAAAAAAAAGATGTTAAGTGCAACAGTTAGCAATTCTTCTGGATTTGGGTGCCACACTCTTAAATCAGAACGTGACAGTTCTCTGTTTCATGCCACTTAAGGACTAGTCATTAAACATGCCCCAAGGTTGCTGTCAGTGTTTCCTGAGTCAAAATTTACTCTCAGAAGCCACCTCCATCCATTAGGAGCAACTGTCTGAAAGAAAGTCCTAGTTTGGAAACCAGAAACTGCGTTCTTTTGATTCTGGTCATAAAGATATGTGAGAGCTGGAACAATTCCCTTGGGCCTCAGTTTCCTTATTTTAAACTGAAGAGTTTGGAGGAGATAGTGATAAGGTGCCAAGTAGCATTCCATGCTTCCCCTAGTTCTGCATTCAGAGCTGGGCCCACTGTCCCATGCTGCTTTCCTAACCAGGCAGGGTCCAGGGACATGGTGGTATTGTGGTGGCAGGGAATCTGCTCCTAGACCTTTGCCAAAGCAGTAGGTGACTTTCTGCCTACAAGTTAGATAAGAAATCTTGGAGGAGATCCCCTGGCGTTCTTACCAAGCCTGCCAGTTTGTAAGTGTGTTAATGAGGCAAGTAAGAAGATCCGGGCAAATGCTGATATTTCAAATTTAATGCCGTACAAAACGTTTCTTCAGTATACCAATGCTTGTGTCATTGCACTCTTAACTGTTGAATGCATATATTTACAGATTGTTTCCCATTCACACCATGCTTCTAGGAAAATCTTTTTATTTAGTAACTACTAACTGCCAAGTATTGTGCTAAACACATATAACTCTACTTTTGATGCTTTTATTCAGAGAGGCCAGGAGGAGAAAAACAGTGAGAGGAGGGAAGTAGAGATCAAGTGCAACTGAGGGTTTGTGCTAGCTGACTGTGGCCAGTTTTTGAAATCAAAAGTGCTATAATTTAAAAATTCCCCAGACCCAGTTTTATTTTACTGTGCGCTTAGGAGTCTTGTTCAGCTCAAGCAGCCCCCATATTGGCTAGGGACGCTTTTGGGAGTTTTAACCTGAGACGCCATGGTCTAAAACAGAAGATGGACAACTTCATTTCTCCCAACATAGCCTCACTTGTGGTCACCTGGGCTTGCATAACATTCTCAGATTCACAAAATAACAATAACGTGAATTCTGCAAAACTTACTTATCACAGTACTTTTAGAGAACAGAAATGAGGGGGGAAGAGGAGGAGAGCTGAAAGATCAAAATGGCAACTTTAAAAATTTAAGAAGCCACTTTAGAAAAACTTCCAAACTTAATTTGTTCTGGCCTAAAAGTTTGCCTTTGGGACACTAATAGTTGAAATTCCCATGATATGCTTTATTTTATGCTTCTAATGGATGATGTCTGAGATATTAAACTTTATTTTTATAGTTAGAATAAAGTATTCTTATATACCTTGAGAGTATAATTGCCATCTTCTGAAAGTTTCAAAAACAGTCATCATGAGT